ATAATGAACTCTATATAATCCCAAAGAAGTTTGAAGTCATTCGGACTTGAACATTGTTTCCTATAATTTTTCTATGTTCTCTAGACATAAGTGTTCAACAATCTTTTTAAGATTCTAAATAAAATTTCATGGTCTGAAGAAATTTTCTTCTAATCCTAATGATCAAAGGAGCTCAAATTTAAATTTTATAACATTTTACTCTATGGATTCATTTAGGTGAATTTCTAAAGTTCTAGGTTATTTAATGACCTTGAAGTTTGAAATATTAATTAAGCGATTGGGAGGCATCAAATTGATTTGAGAAATCCAAGGATGGGCTAGACATTGAACAGAACCTCTAAAATCAATTTGTTGGCTATTGGAATTTATAAAAGGGCTTAATCATCTTATTAATTAATTAATTATATATATAGTTTATTTAATACAATGTACATGGTTAACATTAAATTCCCAATTTATATTTAGAATGTTCTACAAAATTATTTGAAAGCAGAAGTCTCATTCAAATTTTTTGATTTAAATTGAATTTCCTATGAATTTTTAACATCTACTCCTTTTCTAGATTTATTTAAATCCTTATAAAAGGATTTAATTAAGTTGGCTGATTCAGCATAGCAAATAACACATGGCGCTCCTTGATTGGTCCTTTGTTAACATGGTGGGACTCGCATACCACATAGGATCAATTTTATCCATCCAATCAATCATTATATGATTCTAATTAATCAATTTGAAACTATATGGGATGATTTATAAAGTAGTATAACTCCATTGTGGCCATCTATTCTATTTAAATAGAACATATGCTAAAATTTCATGTACTACTTCCCATTACCAACAAACAGCCATCAAAGTTAAATTCATTAATTTGAGGAGATTTATCAATAGATCTCCATCAAATTGATCTAGGAGGATCTAGAGACTAAAGGCCTACAATATAATAGTGAGATCTAGATGGATTTTGAGCTTGCTTCATAATGTCTCAAAACCCAACATTCACATGATTGGCAAAGCAAAATGCAAGGATGTAGTAGCTTTCAAAACCAATTGACGCTTTCTCTAAGTTTATTAAATTTTCATGATCACTTTTGATGAAGATGTCGAAAACTAAAAATGCTTGTGTCGGGATGCCATATCGTAAAATCTAATTAGAAAGGATTTTTCTTATATACATATTTTCTTCCATATTCATAAATATATATCCTTTTTATATCACCAAATAAATAGCAAGCAATATTAACATTTTTTCATTTACTTTACCAAACTATAAACTTAAAAGAGTTTTGCACAATTATCATGGTCTCATCTCTCTTTCCACCCAAGTATATACAATTACCATGACTATCAACATAATAAGTCTATAAAATAAGCATATTTATGGTTGAGGCCTAATCTTATTAATAGTATCTTATCCTTTCCATAAAATAACATGCACAAGTAGGGGTGAGAAACAATTGCTCAATAGGTTACTGTAAACTTACTATAGAATTCAATATACACATATAAAAGAACTTGTATATTAGTATCATAATGTATAAATACAACATGTCCATAGTGAACTAACATAATATTTATATTATGTTTGGTAGTAAAAAAAAAAAAAGTTTATTTCTCCTCCACCACCAGACACCTATATTTCTTTCCTCCTCCCCCTTCTTACACACATTTTAAAAAAGATGCAAATAAAAACATTAGTACTTTAAACATGTAAAAAAATAAGTACTTTCAACAATAGCATAGGAATATCGTTAGTTTCAAAGTGTATAGAAAATATCTATCATATTACAATTATATAGTGTTTCCCTGCAAAAATAAATAATAAACATATTTACTGAATTTTATTATTATAAGGCATATAAAATTAAATTTCTCTTATCAACTAGCTCAACGACACTTATGAATAAGGAAAACCTTAGATTATAAACTCTCATTATACAATATGATTTGAAATTGATTTCTATATAATTTATTGTGCATTTTAGTTATTGTCAAAAGACTCAAAACACATATTTTTTCTCATACTATAATTAGTAAGAATCCAAGCTTCCTGAATGCCTAATATATATATATATATATAGAGAAGAAGAGAGAGAGAGAGAGAGGAGAGAGAGAAGAAAATAAATTATAAATTATGTTTTAAGAAAAAAAAAACTAATCATTTATTTATAGTATGATTGGATACAATTAAAATTCATAAATCTAGAACTCCTCATGTATATTTTAAAGTAAGTGTTGCATGTAAGAACATTTGCTATGATAGTAAGAGAGTTTGTTGTCTTAAGCATTTATAAAAAAAATCTAACGCCAAGATAATGAGGGAGTGAAAAATTATACAAATGTTAAGGTTTTTACATATAAAACTTATAGAAGAAAAAACAACAGACTTGACCTAGTTAAATGTTCGATTAGTTTTTGTCACCATTTACAAATAATGATATTCTTTGAGAGATGATGATTTTATAAACAGTAACATAAGATACTTAGCGCATACTAAGTGATTGAAGCTGGAAGAGCCTTGTGGCTTGTAAGCTGTTTTTAAGAATTGTTTGATTGTTTTTTTTAATGTACTCAATTGAGAAGGGGAGATAAGGGACCAAAAGTTTAAGCATAAATATTGATGTTGACGTCGAGAGTTAAAGGAAATGTTAATAATATGTGTTTCCAGAGTTCTTATAAAAACAGTGCAAAGGGCGAATTGTGTCAGGTATTGTGTGATCGACACAAATGAGGTGATTGTCGAATGGTGTGTTGGTGTAGCTGTGGAGATGTGAGCACACATTGTCAGGACGTTTGGTTAGAGGAACTACTAACGCTCATTAAGTTACGGAGAGTTGTACGAATTAGGTTCTATAGTCGGAGAGCCAGCGATCCATAGGTGGTACGTCTGGAGGAAACGAGATTGTGTAAGTTGATACTCTGGTGGTTGCAGGACGCAGACATACATAAAGATGATGGTGGGTTAGATATATTTAAATGTCGCAAGAGGACCGCCATGTAGTAGTAACTATCGCGCAGGACTTTTAGCTCATCCTTGACGTGTTATTGAAGGTAGGTAGAGGATTGGTAGACGTCTTCTGAGCATTATCCGACAATTGTAGTCATTATATACTGGATGGCTGGCAGTGGTTTTATTCTGAACATGTAAGTTAAGAAGAGACGCTAGATCATTGGTATTCACAGATTCTAAGCGCTCTCGATTTTTCACTCCCATTTTTGTCCCTTTCAGGTAGAATGGATGTCTATTTATAATATAATTTAGGAAAGATAGCTTGAATGAATTTAACTAAAATTTCATAATTTTCTCGAATGATTGATATTAAATACTTTGATCATAGTCATTATTTTAGGCATTTAAGACTCTTTAGAGTGGCAAGTAGATAATGACTTAGTTTGGAATTTGTTTCATTGAGCTTTGGTTTTGACTATATACATAATAACATATATATGGAGATGATTAGGAATTGGAGATAGTTACTTGCTTTAGTCTCATTTAGACTTGAATCAAATTGCCTTTGTTTATGTTGGTTCTTCCTTTCAAAATACTCAATTTCATTAGAAATTTTTGAAATATATCTTTGAATGTTCTTAAATTTAATTATGAAATTTTCAAACGCAAAATTTCACCAAAGGAATTTTTTTGCATATCAATAAGGATTTTATTTTAACACGTGTAGAAGGTTTTTTTTTATTTATGATGTAATTCTAGCCACGTTTAACATGTGCATGTGCACTTTTTAATAATTTCATAATTAGACCAGTATTATTTTATTATAATAAATATGAGGAATCTTTAAATTGATAAAAACAGAGAGAAATATTAAATAATTTTTTGTGGTCATTTTTAAATAATCACTTTATCAATTCTCTTAAATAATTGAAGAGTTGCTTTAAATGTTACACAAAAAGGATATGATATATAATTCAATTCTCTTCTATAATTTAAATTATTATAATTATATAACTACTTAATAATAAATAAAAATTTATTATATTAAATAATATAACCAAGGCTTGATGTTATAATTAATTTCGTCATTGAGCAGCTGAGGAATTTTTATTTTTAATTAATGCTTTATTGGGTATTTGCAGGATAGCACTTATAAGGTATAATTAGATTATTTATATATTTAATACTTAATTTTATATTTACTCACATTCATTAAAATATTTAAATGAAATAAAAAAATATGCTGTAATTTATAATAATTTAATTAATATTTGAAGATAAAAAAACATTAAGGGGTTGTGTGAATGCATCATTTCAGTAGGATTATCATAAACCCTATCAAACAACAAAAATGACAAATTTAAATCCCGTTTCTTCTTTGTTTTGCTTTAAATCCCAAATTTATTAAATCCTAATAATGTGTAGTGGATATATAGGATTTAGGGGATACGAAGCGTAAGAGAAAGGCGCGTCAATGAGTTGCTCTTTCGTTCTCTTAAGCTCAACAACAGCTGATCAAAGACGAAGGAACAACGACAAGTATAACCAACATGAAAATAATGCCAAACAAAAAGCACAGATAAAAGTATTAAATTCTACAACATGCACAATTGAAACAGTAAATGAAAAAATGTCAATGAGGAAAAGTAAACCCTAAACATGTCTAACTATATTATTTTCAATGATTTTGACCAACTTAAATACAAGTTATATATAATATATTGGGAACTAAAAAAATTATATTTAACTATATTTTTATTTTATGGATGTGTTATGTCGACTATTATATAAATTTTTTATTTTTTATGAATATATATGTTTATATTAATAATTATTATTTATTTACATAAAATTCTCATAAATTAATCTCTTTAAATCTTAAATTCCATCATTAAATAATTTTACAGAAATTTCAAAATTTAACAGCGTTTCAGTCTAAATAGTTTTTACAAACAAATTTTTTTTTTTTGGGAAAAATAAAATTGCCACCTAAATTTTTAGGTATTTAATTTACTCAATCCTAAGAGGCCCTCGTGAGGTCACACTCCAATTATTACTATATATAAGGACACCTCACCAGTCACCTCCCTCCAGCCACACTACAGTACTATTGTGAAACCAAGATCGGAGAAATGGCGGAATCTGAGGAAGTGGCCAAGGTTACCAACCGCGACATCGAGGTCCAAATCACCGGCGACGGCCACGGCGATGACCACGGATACCACCTTGGCGCCGTTCTCCGAGACTTGTTGGCCGGAATAGCTGCCGACGGGAAAACGCCGCTTTCCCATCGCATCCGAGTCTCTCTGTCCTCCAACGCTCCTCGCCTCAAAGACGCGTCAAGGAACTCTGCTCAAGCTCTTGTAAAATGGACTCGACAGGGCAGCGCTGCTCGTGTTCTTCTCGTTATCTCGGTTCGCGCTTCCGCCCGTTTTTTCTGTCCGAAACGATTATTTATTGGATTGATGTTGTTTCGTTTGTTTGTTTTCTTTTTCCTTGAACTAATTTGAAGGAATTGGGTCAGGTGTCATTGATACGCATAAAGACTTGTTTTCTGTTTGATATGATTAATTGAATGAAAGTATACTGTGGTGCTGGTAATTCCTTGGATCGGGATACAAGAATCCTGCTTTGGGTTTGATAGAGAAGTCCTTCCCATTTTCTCCTTGTCATCTTGTTTTGCAATCGATGCCCCTTTTTGCTATCTGATTGATGTTGTTTTGTTGGTTTAGTTCAATAAGGTTGAAATAATCGTATCAAAAAGTTTAGTCTAGCTGGATTATAATCCTTCGAGCCATTGAGGCAAATTTATGTCGAACAGAATTAATAGATATAATGACTTATTTTCTGTTTGATTTGATTAATTGGATGAAATTTCATTATGGTGTGGTAGTTGTTACCCAATATGTTACCACTTATACAATATTATACATAGCAGGGATCTTCACTAAATAGAATGGATGGTTTTTATTTGGTCTTCTACCTTCAATGGCTAATAGAGATAGTTCATGAATTCCCTTGATCTTTCATGATCCACAGTGAATTCTTGAATCCAACTGATCGATGAGGTCAAGACCCTATTTTCTTGCAATTCAACAGTCAGATTCCCTTGAATTGCAAGTTTGTTTGATAATGCATGAAATTGAGTTTTACCTAATTAGGAATTTAGGCATACTTCTATCAACATGAATTCCAGCCAATTAAGGGTTGTAGTTACTTTCGGACTTCCAAAAAGAAGTTTGTTTTGGACGCCTTGGTCTGAGAAGCATTGGATCATTGGGTGACTTTTGGTTATTAAAAGTTTGCTGGAACTTGGTCTCTATGGTCACAAAGGAGGGTTGGGAGGCCAGGGAAGCATTGAGATCAACTGCTCACGCACTAGGGAAGCTGAGTGAACTGAAATTGCACCCAATTTTTAACCCAAGGGGACCTATTTATAAATTTTCAAAAAAGCATTTAGTCATAATTTCAGCTATTGCTGATGGTTCAAACTGACAAAGTCAGTTGGGAATTGGCTAATAGTGGTCTCACACCTTTCATAGAATGTTCAAGGGCTAGGGATGAGTTGTATCAGTTGTTCTATGAGTTGGGTGCACTTGTGTGTCTTAGCCTAAGCTTGTGCTGGCTATCTAGGATATGGCAGCCGGCTGATTGGGCTAGCAAGGATTCTATAAGGTTTAGGGAAGTTAGAGGAAGCTTTAGATTCAATCAATTTTGTTAGGGATAGCTTGGATTGGGTTTTGACCTTTTTATGGGCCAGGTCAATCCAATTGACTCACTTGGGTTAACCCAAGTGAGCAGGACTACTTAGGGGAGCTAGGCTTAAGGTCTTAGGGAGCTTTAGTCAAAGTATGAGGAGATTTGGTTTGGGTTTGAAAGATTTAAACCTAGTGAATGCAAGGAGAGTGCCCTATTGGCATTTTCTATATTTTGACCTAATCTTGGCCAACATGGGTTGATCATGGGTTAGGGGTAAGTCTTGGTGCCCTTGAATGGGTTTGAGTCACCTTGACTCAAGTCTTAGGTCAAAAAGCATGGTTTTGACCTAAGGAAGCAATGGGTAAGGGTTTAGGGGTATTTGAATTTTTTTTTCATGGTAAGCATGGGTTGACCATGGATCAAACATTGTCCCAAGTTCTTTAAAGTGGTTAGAGTCACTTGAGTTCAATGCAATGCAAAATCTAGGAGTTAATCCTTTGGATTCCAAGATGGGTCTTATAGGGGCATTTTGGAAATTTTTACTACTCATGGTCAACTAGAATTGACCATGGGTATTCCATGGTCCTAAATGATCCTAGAATGGATTAAAACCATTTGAAACTAATGCCAAATCTTGGATTTGAGTTTTGGCTTTTGACCTAACGGACCCATATTGGGCACCCTAGGGGCATTTTGGCAATTAAAAAAAAGGGGGCATTTTGGCAATTTTATCACTTTTGGTCAATTGAATTTGACTAGGGTGGAGAATGATTCTTAATGTTGGAGTTGCTCCTGTAGAAGATAAGATTAGAGAGAGTCGACTTAGATGGTTTGGTCACATAAAACGGCGGCCTTCCGATGACCCGGTTAGGAGAGTAGAGGTAATAGATTTGACTTATGTTAAGAAAGGTAGGGGTAGAACTAAAAAGACTTGGTTAGAAAATATTAGGAACGACCTTTCTTTATTAGATTTAAACGAGAATTTGACTTTTAATAGGACACAATGGAGGAAATAGATTCATGTAGCCGACCCCACATAGTGGGATAAAGGCATGTTGTTGTTGTTGTTGGAGAATGATTCTAAATGTCCCTAAGATGAATTATAGTTGTTCAAAACTAATCCCAAGGGCAAATGGCTAGGTTTGAATGCTTAGATTAGACTTTGGGCTTTGGACAAACTTGGTTGTCAAAGTGGTTCATGGGTCAACCTTGAGTCAAAATATTCTTAAAAGAGATTATGAGTGTTAAGCTCAATTCCTAGCTTAATGATCATTTTAGGTTTTAGGTAATTTTAGGGTTTAAGGTTTGACCTTGTTCGAACCACTTTTGACCAAGTGTCAAAGGAGTTGGCCAATACTCCTTGACCCATGGGGTGGGTCCAGGAATAGGTCCATGGTCTCTAGGGAAAAACTTAGAGCCAATGGTTGTCTATTGTGAATTATAATGTTTGAGTTATTTTTGCAAATTTGGGCAATTTTAGAGTTTGATCTATGGTTTATTGGGTTTAATTTGGTGGGTCCACTGCCAACCTAGGGTCACTAGGAGATGTCCTAAGTTCCCTAAGAGGTTCATGGGCTTTATAGGGTTAGCCAATGTCAAGTCTTTGGGAATACCCCTAAAAGAGTCATAGGGATAATTTTATATGCTAAGGTAGAAAATTTAAGTGCTGAGAGCATACCTTAGAAGGAAAAGTGAATCTCATTAAAAAAATGAGGTCAACAAACTCCTCAATCTTTTTTTCTCTGAAGCCACTACATTTTTTGAGATTAATTCTTATATTAAATGTCACCTAAACTTGGAGATCTGCCTCTTTGATGATCTTATACTGACAAACACACCTGTGCATAAGTTGCTATTAGTCAACAACTTAGTCATTCTACCGAAGGGAATCCTACTACTTTTATTCAAGAAAATTATCATTTTTGCTCCATTAACTCCATCTTTCTTAAGCCTCACACCTATCATGAGGTTTGTTCTAGTCCCCATTAGTGACAAGTTATTTGGAAAGAGCTTTGATGCCTTAGTCTTCGTTAATTGGGATTAAGTTGGCTTTCATGTAGGAAAGTTTGTTGTTGATTGCCAATGGGTCTAGAAAATAATAACTACACTCAAATGAGCCTGTTGAGCATCATAAAGTCTATCTTGTTGCTAAATGCTTCACACAGGAATACGATATTGGTTTTGATGAAGGAATTCTTCCCTTAAATATATAAGCACTCTATTCGTTGTTTTGGCCATTCATTGATGACCACTTTTCAAATAGAAATAATTCTTCCCGCAATGGCAATCTTAGAATCAACTTTATTTGTGACCATCTTCTAGGCTTACTACAACATCGACTGAGGTTTGTCAACTTTGCCACTAGACCATGCCCTAGTTATTTTCTATTTCTCTCTCTTCTATTAGAAATAAATTTTTTTAGGCACTAGATCTTGCACTAATTATAAATTAATTATTATTTTCTAATTGGGAGTTTGTAATGTAAAAGATAAGAATTGAGAAGAAAGTATATACTCTCTTTTGTGTGGGAGTCTTGAGGATAACAAAAAAGAATGGAAAATAACTGCAAGTCTTTTTTTGTGGTATCAACAGTATCATTCTCTTGCAACTTAAGTAGAAATAAACAAATTGAGTCAAAATTAGTAAGCTTAATTTCTTAACAAGAATCACCTATTCAGTTCAACAATTCATACGAACCTTGGTTGAAACATGAATATGTTCAATGTTGAAGAGATGAGCCATCATTGAAGTATTGCTAGTGGCAGTATTGGTGGCATATTTTGCAGCATGTCCCATAGCATTGCCATAATAAGCATACATTGCTTTTTTGTTGCTTCCAAATTTCTCTATCCACTGCCGCACCATGCATCAATAATACCGCATTAGGAGATTCTGCTCAAGCTCTCCTAATTTTACTCAACAAAAAAACTCTCTTTATGCTCGCCTCATCTTCTTGGTTCTTGTTATGTCCTTTCTATTATCGAAAATGATATTTTCTTCAATTGTTGTCATTTTTTTGGTTTAATTCTATTAGTTTGAAGCAATCTTATTGAATTCCATCTTTTATTAAACGCATTTACATCACAGTTCATGTGAATAGTTTTATTTCTCCTCAAGAATCCCTCCAATCACAGCTGTATTTCTCCTCAAGAATCCCTCCAATCATTGGGAGGCGTACGAGGATAAATGACTAGATTCTATGGATATGTTAGTAAGTTTTCTTTTATAGAAAAGCCTCAAGCTGACTATAATAGGTCTATTAAAAAACTAGGAAACTTACAACTATTTTGATGATAGTTTGAGTCGACGTGACATATGTATTTACCTTGAAAATATAATGTATATATAAATGTTTAAAAAGGTGAAATTGGAAATCGAGTCATTTTACCCTAGTGAAGCGAGGCGTAAACCTAGAGGCGGTCAAGGTATATGCCTCGAAACAAAAAAATAAAAAACTCATGAACTTACAAATAATTCATTAAAATGACAAAAATAAAGTATCAATATTGATTCATCATCATAAAGATATAACCCTAGACCCTAGTAAACTTTCATATTCTTCATACTAGCCTTCAATGTAACCCTTATATCATCCTCAAATTCTATTTCATTATTATCATAAAAACCTTCTTCAATTACTATAATTTTTAAACTCCTTATATCAATTAATATTGGATTCAATATAATATAAAATAAATCGATAAATTAATAACACAACAAAGTAATCAATTATTTTTAAACTATGATATATATATATATATATTAAAGTTTATTTTGATTTGATTTGAAATCAATTTTAGTTAACTCAAAATAAATCACCTCGAGTCAAATTAGCTTGATTTAAATGATTTCAATTTAAATCAAGTTCGATCCGATATGGAATTGTATTATTTTTTTACTACAGTTAAGTTAAACTCACTCAAATTAAACTCAATAACAACCCTAGATTACATGTACGAGGCATTTGTTTAAGGTTTCTCAAGCCAAAATTAATTGTTGGAGTTTTCCATGATAAGCACGCTGGGATTAGGGTTTCATGTAAGATTGGAGTTCTTCTCATATATTATCAACGTACCATCTTGGTAGCTAGGGCTTCATTGGAGGATTGGAGACTTCATTAGGACATGGAAGAAGAAGGCTTCTTCTTAGGTAATCTTGGTCGTGGGATTATTTTTGGGGCCTTCTTTGTTTGATGATGGGTTATTTTGGCTTGTGAAAGATTTGGTGAGTGCTCTTAATTTTATATATCATGATTATGACTTATATGTTTATTGAAAGTAGATCAAATACTGTACTTTTTCATGGACATATGTTTCGTTGAAGTTAAACCATATAGATCGGGTGTCTCTTTATTATTTTTTATTCTCTTTTGTTATAATTTTTTGGCAGTTTATTCTAGATCCCGAGAATGCTTCTTCATTGTCTTTTGGCGCTCTTTTTTGAATAAACTGGTATCAAAGCTGGGTCCTGAGATTGATGGCCATGAATTTTGACATCAAGATGTTTGATGATTTTGGATTTCCAAGAATGAAGATCATTTAAAAAAAAAAGAAAAAAAATGAAGAACATTTTAACAATTAATCTATGCATGATATTGAAGCAACCAAGGTGTGTTTGTTTTTCATATTAGAGCAATTCATCTTGGGGAAGCATAAAAGAGTTATATTTTTCATTATAAGAAAACAATTTTGAAAAATGGGATGATGCGAGGACTTTAATAAGTGATCAAATGTAGGACCTCCCTTGCATCATAGTCTATCTTGACGCCACATGATATTATCGTAGGGAAAAGAGATAACTACTTTAGAGGTACACAAATTTTGTGGTAGTTACACTTGTGTTATTGATAAACGAATCTTTACGTGTAACAAATAAGCTTTAGAGGTTTCTCATAACCATTTTGATGTGTGTTATTAAACCCGTTGTGAGGATTTTGGAGCTTAGAGTGCTTATTTTAGTGATAAGACAAATGCGTTCTAATTTTACTATAATATTGAGTCATGAGAGTTTCTTAAACCTAGCAACTTATTTTAATGACTGTTTGAAGGATAAAAAATATCCTGAATCAAGATTTGTGAAGTTTGGCCATAAAATTGCATGCATCTGGGGAGCTCCACTCTAGAAGAAGGATTTCATTAAAGGATTGGAGACTTTATTAGTGTAAAGAAGAAAGATTCTTGTAAGGTAATCTTAGTTGTGAGCTTATTGTTTGGGGCATTTTGCTTTATTTGAGCTGGGGTGTACTTGAGTTTAGGAAATAACCGATGAGTGCTCTTGATTTTTTACACCACATTTGTGGATAGAGGTGCAAATGGGATAAGTCAAGCTCTAGTTATATCTAATTCAAGCTTAGATTGGCTCATCTATTTCACAGTAGGATCAAACTTGAGCTTGAGATCCGCTCATCTTATCAACTCGCAACTCTAGCTCGACTTGTGAGCTCTAGTTTCTTTGGTGAGGAAATGATTTATGAGGTCTTGGTGAAGTCATTGACTAGACCAACAATGGCGACTGATGAACTTATGAGCTGGCTTGACTCACTTATATGCTTAATGGTGGGTTATATTTGTTGTTGGAGGATTGGGTTTATTTTCCCTACTATGGGATGTAGGCTTGATTGAAGCTGATCTACATAAATTTGTCTTCTTTTTATTTCCTCTCCCATTTATGATAGTTTTGTGGCACATCTTTCTCGATCTTGGTGAAACTTTCATGTTGCCTTTTAATGACCTTATTACAATATTCTTTATGACTATGGTGCCCTCATTATAATATTCTTTATGACTGACTACTAAGAATAGCTCATCTTTCAGTATTAATTGATTTACTCTTTTTAACTGAAGTTGCTTTTACCTTATGATATAAGGGCCCAGACAGCATGGTCATGTTTAATGCTACGCTTGTTATAATGGCTTGCCCATGAATTTGAAATGGGTCCTCCAATTAAAATTTGCTGTCTTTATACCAGTTTTAAAACTTTCATTACTCCTTTTCTTTACATCAGCCAACAATTCTGTCAAGTGGGACACACCATCAGAGAGAGAGAGAGAGAGAGAGAGAGAGAGAAGAGGCATCTTCGTAGTGATGGGTTTTGTTGATAGCTAGCTACGGATAACTATCATGTTAGAATTGCTATTATAAGTAGCCATTATGACTCCATGTCATTTGAGCACATATCACCACCATCATGGAACAGCAGCTCAGTCTGAAAGTGCTTACATGCAACATCAAAGTCTGTAACTTTTAGTTTGATATTCTTGGTACATATCTGATCTTTCTGAGGATTTCTGAAGAAAAATGTACATCATGTTGTTATGTTGAATTTTTTTTACGTTGCCTAGAAAGCAAGCAGGCGCATCCAAAGCTTAGGTTCTTGTCATAGATGTTATTAACCTTCCAAGCTGGTAGCTAATGAGGATAGTTTTATGACCTGATCTAGTTTAGTTCAACATAGAAATAGTTTGAACTGAACAAACACCATATAAGCCTATCCAAGTTATATCTCCAAAATTTCCAATGCAGTTTTGGTGCTAAAGGATAACTATCAACCTGATAAGAGCACCTTAAACAATTAGTCAATTACTTTGTTATGCCCTTAACAACATATGCTCTTCTATGTTTCAACAATCTGAGTCGTTAAGGTTCTCACTTATTAATGGACAAGTTCAAATCATGAGTTGACTTGCCATTTCGAGTTTAGCTGGTGTATTTTTGTGGTTTAACCTAAATCAATGGTTGAAGCTGAATGATTTGCAAGAGAGGGTTGGGGTGCTTGCTTTGATCCTTCTCTCACGATCTCTCTCTCTCTATTCTCTCTCCCTGTCACTCTTCTCCTTGTACACAGATTATTATCATCTTTGCACATTAGGTTTTAGTATCCTACATTTTTGATATATGAATAAATAATTTCCTGAGTGATTTCTAAAGTTTTAATTTAGAAAAAAATAAGCAGCAATAGGTCCTTGGATGCACTGGTAATATCTGACTCTATTCAATATTTTTGCAGGTTGGGACAATCACACTGTTGGCTTTGACAGGATTGCTGGTCTTTACGCTTTTCTTTTTGGTGGCAACATTAAATGCAGTCGTTATATCCCTTCTGATGTCTCTGGCAGCAGCTGGTGGATTTTTAGCCCTTTTCTTTGTCTTCACAACGGCAATATATGTTGGAGCACTATCTGTTGCAGCGTTCTTTATTTCATCCATAGTTACATTAACAATCATTGGAGTCATTATAGCGACTGGTAAGCTTCAATACCTTTTTTTCTTTGTTATATGCACATGTTCGACATTTTGAAGAATATTTTTAAATGCCTTGGCTTTAGTGCCTATTATTTTGTTTAGTATAATTGAAATAATCTGAAATGAGGTTAAGCATTTGAGATTCAACTTTTCCACAGCCATGGAAATCTTGCACAATGTTACTGAAGACTTCTTTTATATTCTAAAATTTTTGTATTAAAGATGCTGATTTTGTTAGAAATCTTTGATTGTTGTTGCCCTTTGAAACATTTCAGTCAATGAGACGTATGTATAAGAAAGGTGAAACTTCTGCATGATTTTTATTTAACAATGGATATGATGATTGATTTAGTTTGACATTAAGGAGTAAACATAATTTCTAATTGTTGTGTCCTGGAATATTCGCGATGGTAGAAAAATATAAAGTTTAATGTCTTAACTTTGTACGAAGATCCAACATACAAACATATAAAAGAGAAGGGTGTAGCATTCATAAGAGACACCGGAATTTTTACGTGGAAACCCATACATAGAGAAAAAAACCATGGGGCTTGGCCCAGTATGAATGAGTCCACTAGTGTTTGCAGTCGATTACAAATGAGGCCCTTTCTTGGGGGGAAGGCGTTGGCTTGATCTAGCAAATATACTTCATATAGAGTGCATTACATGGTGGGAATTGGAAGAATCAGTATTGACATGTTTGTTTGGTTGGCGGGATCATAGTCGGCGGGCGACGGAGGTCGGAAAGGCCGTAGTCGGGTGACGGTGGTCGGAAGGACCATAGTAGGCGGGCTACGGAAGTCGGAAAGACCGTTGTCAGGAGACGAAGGTTAGAAGGATTGTAGTCGGCGGGCGACAGAGGTCAGAAGGACCATAGTTGGTGGACGACGGAGGTCAGAAGGACCGTTATGTGGTGACGGAGGTCGGAAGGACTGTAGTTGGCAGACAATGGAGGTCAGAAAAACTGTTATCTGGCGACGGAGGTCGGAAGGATCGTAGTTGGCATGCGACTATGCTCAGAAAGACTGTTGTCGACGATGAAGGTCATAAAGATTGTAGTAGGCGGACAACTGTGGTTAGAAAGACCGTAGTCGGGCGACGAAAGTCAAGAAGATCGTAGTCGGATGAAAATGGTCAGAAGGACTGTAGTTGGAAGATGAAGGAGGTCGAAAAGATCGTAGTCGGTGACGGTGGTGAGGAGGAAATCCGGTAGCAATTGGTGGCCCGATGTATGTCCGACGATAATTGGTGGCCGGGCGGAAGTCCGACAATGGCCGGGTGGTGGTCGAGGAGGAGCTTGGTGGAAATAGAGATCTCAGATTTCTTTTTCTCTCCTCTCTTCTTTTTCTTACTTCTCTCCCTCCTTCCTTCCCCCCTTTCAACAAAGAATGAGGGGTCTATTTATAGTTTTTTGGGAGTGGCATGACTAGTAAATAGGGAGGAGATCAAGGGCATTTTAGGAGTGTTTTGAATGGACGGCTAATATCAACTCCTTTGATCATAGATTGCTTATCGACTATTTTAGTGCCATAAAGATGTTAGAATTCAACGATCTTGGGCTCGTTGGATTTTGCTTGTCGAGCCGCTCGATTCGACTATAAGCATGTCACATTTGGAAACCGTCTGGTCATCCAATTTATACTTTGAACCTTTCAAATGAGCTTCGGGTCTTCAATTTGGTCACATTTGAGCTCAAATTGAGTAGAATTTGGTGTCGTTGGGTTTGTCTTTTCAAGACGCTCAATTCGACTATAAATTTGCTGAAATCGAAGTTCAGATGGTCTCATATTTAATTTTGGAACCTTTCAACTCAATTTTGCCTCCAAATTTGTACCCGCTCATTATTAATTTTTGATGATATATCACTAATAGAAGCTCAGCACATATTCAAAATTAGTTTTCTATTAAAAGTTTATATTCTGGTTATGAGTAAATTGAAGTTCGACGAGAATTTTACCTTCAAATTAAGAATATTATCAGATTTTTTATTTTTATTTTTTTATTTTAGGTTTAGACATGATTTTAGGCTCAGCTTCTGTATCAAATTACCGAGACATGGTAATGCAACTTCAAACTCTAATGCCACGGGAGTTGCAAGATGTCTTATGCTCTAGGGTTTCGCTAATGTAAATCTAGGACAAAGATGCAGAGAAGATTAAATTTACGGTCCACAAACTTTTAATAAGCGTTTAGATAAAAATCTAAGGTTTGTATCTTTGATGAAAATTTAAAAGCATGTAAAATTCACTTCAGATAACAAAGTTAAAGATAGTCCAAAAAGAGCAAGAAATTTTTGGTCAGATAAACCGTATGATGATTAAGATTCACACCACGATAAAAATGGCAAGCTTGTAGTAGATTTGATTGAATTTCTATCGCACATGTTAAATTGAATCACAAACTTGTTAATGAAAATTTTGGATGGAAGCCACCAAAGAAGACCCAAACCTTGCATCAATATATGGAGACAGCTTTACTTAAAAATTGTCAATTGTTGCACCACATCTAAGGAATTCATATTTAACAACACACAAAGTTTGAGATAAATTTTAATTTATTGTAAGAAATTTGATGATTTGTTTAAACTTTAACGCATGCATCGGGATCCCTATTTATAACCATAAAATAACTAAAAGTGGCAACTTCTCGAAATCCCTATATTCTGGCTAAAACTAGAAGTTCCGATTTCCTGCTAAAACAACTATTCCCGGTTTTAGCTGACTCAGAAGCAACAAATTCAATCCTATTACAGTGCATAATCATAATAGTAATAATAAAATCCTTGCTACAGCGTAGAACAATAATAGAAGGAAACTAGCATCCGGATCCAACCTAAAGAGATGCACGTGAAAAACATGGTAACATCCTTCCAAATCAGTGGTTAGACAAAAACATGACATGTGCGTGCACATGAAAAGCATGATAATATCCTTCCAAATTTGTGGTTGTACAGAAACAAAGTTTGGAAGCACATGGAAATTATGGAAGCACATGGAAAGAATGGCAGCATCTTTCTAAATCAACTGCTGAGTAGAAAATGGGGATTAGATGTGCTGAACAGTTAATTATAAACAACTCAACTAGATTTTGGTTTGTAGCAATAGTTAAGAAGAGTATCTACAACATCTCGAGGTCTTAAGTGGCCCAACCTGTGCTTAATATAAAAAAATGTTTAGTTTTTAGAGTTTGTGGGTCATAGTTTGTTTCACACAGGCATTTTTATTGGTTGTGGCAAACTTCAAACTGACTCAAACAAGGTGGAAGTCACCAAAATTTATTCATGTCATGCATTATTTTAGAGGTACGAAGCTTCATGGTTGCCTTCCAGTATGTGTAGAAGTTTATTCACTATTTCTTAGTGCTATCTGCCCCTTTACATGCCTCATAAGTACTAGTTGCTGTTGACTACTGATCAGCCTGATCGGTCCCACCTCACGCACGTTTGCTTCCCAAACGAAACAATTGGTTGCCGCCAAACGACACAACCGCTCCCTTTCATTTCCACAAAATTGCACGTAGGAGAAAGAACGACATCATTCGATCCTCACACACGAAATCTCCCATTGGCTATTCTCCCCCGATCTCCCTCAGTCACACGCGAGACCCAAGCTCCTAGGCCCTGACGCGCCTCCGTCCCGCTTGAGCCCACTCCCGTCCCACTCTCTCGTTACTCTCAATATCGCATGCAAGGAATGATTCACACCTCCATCCCGCACAGGGCCCTTGGCCCAACCGCAAACCTATGGCCCTGCCTCCGCTTACACTCGCGCCTCTGTCCGCACGCGACCCGTGATTGCAGGCCCCAAACAAGCACACCCGCGTCATGCTCCTACATCCGCTTGACGCCGAACCAAACCTCCTCTGCCTGTGTGACCTAGCCTGTCCCTTGTCCTATTATTATTATTATTGTTAAAATTCTTACTAACACTAATGTCGCCGTCTTCGTCGCTCACCATGCACAAATGTATAAATATCTTTCTCGTTTTCTTAACCAATAGGTATCAAAGACCCATCATTATATCTTTGATTCGACCTGGAGAAGAATGAGATATGAAGACCCTTACCATTGTATCTTTGATCCAGTCGGGAAGATTGAAAGGCAAGTGCCAACCTGACTCCTCTTACATTAGTGGTGGGATGTCGGGAGGTTGCCGAAATTTCAAATGACCAAAGATCCCCTATATAATTAATTTCAAATAAAGTTTTTTTATTTTAAATGATTTAAAAAAATTAATTGTATCATTTCAATTGATTATATATATATATATATATATATATATATAAAAGGAGGGGCAAACAGATTATTCTTGGCATTGAGCATGTGTGCCTCAAAAAAATTGAAGGATAAGTTGCAAACCGCTTTGAGGATATTTCTAGGGTAGTCCTTGAAAATATAACATAATGAGATATTCAATTCAAAGGAGATACAACTTCAAGAAAACCTACTTCTTGTCACGACCCGGCCCCGCTAGCCCGTTGAAAACGGGGCTGGAACAGTTGGTCGTACGGAATAGCATATAAAACATAGATCAAATTCATTATAGATTTAAACTCAGTACATAAATGTCATCCCATAATAAATGAAAGAGCCATTAAAAGACATCAAATTTAAATGTTATAAACTGATAAACTGTCTCATAACCACTGAAACTTTCAAACCCATCATCATAACATAAACTTTCACAATTACATAAACTTCAAACTCACGAACTATAAAGAAACAAACCCAAAGACTAAAACTTAAAATATATAATAGAACCTTTCTTCCTGAGGTCCCCTACGACGATACGTGTACGGTCGTCGTGCAGCCATCACTTCTCTCCTGAAAAACATTTACAACGAGGAATGAGCCAACGCTCAGCAGTTAATTCAAAGCTCAGTTAATTTCATAAGATGGAAAAATAAAACATTTGTAATTGAAATCATATAATACAATTTTGCAAGTCATAATCTTTAAACTTTTTAATTTTTCTTGCATTTTTCTTTCTTTAACATTTCATTC